CGAATATTGAAAATAATATATCCTAAACCCTAAATCCTATAAATAGATCTCATATCCAATAACTCTGCATCTATATTTATTTATAATTTTCTTGGATTCTTAATTTCTAATAAGAAATTACATAAATAGATTTATTATACTTATTTATATCTAAATATATACAGATATTTATCATGAATTCATTTATTTTATCTAAAGATCTTCAATAGAGAAATTTCTAATTTCTAGAATTCGTATTCAAAATTTCATATTTCTCTTGCTTTCTATTTATATATTTTTAATATTGATTTCAAGAAATTATAATCATAATCTAATGTTTATTCATTCTTTAGAGAAAAGTTGCGTGTATTACCTTTATGAATCATAATCTATTGTCTTCTTATTTCATTTAAGATATTATTCTTATTCTTAATAATGTATTTCATATGCTACTCTATCGAGGATTGATATTTGTATTCAGATTTATCAATCTTCGAATGTAGCTCGCGACATGCCCAGCAAAATTTAGTAGACAGCCAGCAACAGCAAAGCTCGCCTCCGCCAGCTTCATTTGCAGCCGCCAGGGGAAGCAATGGCCTTGCCAGCTTCAATGCGCCAGGAGTGTCTGACAAGAACGACTGATTGATAAAACGGCGGCACGCTGCATAATTCTGCACTGTCCTACACTACGCAGGCTGACAGCCTGCAGCCAGTGTCGCATCTGAGCTCGCTGCCAAACCATGGCCCAGGAAAATCGTGTGTGCCACGACATCTGCTTCACTCGATCTAGACAAGAAACACGGAGCCGGAAGAAAAACAGTTTCTCAAACTTGCCTCCGGCCAAAATGACTGCTGCGGATGTGCACGGGCAAACTTCCCAAGAATGTACAAGTGCTACTACTCACGGCGGCCTTGGTGCAAGAACGATATCGATGATGCTAGTGATACTCATGATCACGCTCATACGGTTCATAATAACGGTGATAATCAGGCATTGAAGACAATGATGACCATTGGTCCATTAGACGATAACGATGATACTAATGATACCGGCCATGGTACTAACACCACCCTAAACCCTAAACCCATGATAAACAAGCCTGAGGCTGATGATAATGGTGACGAGGTAGAAATGAAAGCGACCATCATAACGCTAAGGCAGGGCAAACCATCCATTTTAATCTATGCATGCGCCTCCCGCATCGTCTCGCATTGCTGCCAAATGCCGTCGAACAAGTTTGGAAGGCTTTCCTGCATTACAAAACTGATGAACATGGTCACCCCTCGAGACGTCAAGCGCGAAAATCTACGAGCTACGGTGCTTAAACACACAAGCATCCCTTGCAGCTGCAATGGGATGCCGATGGGAATTCCTCAGGCCCATGAGGCCCTAAGGGTCCGGACCGTCGGATGACAACTTCACAATGTTTTAAACAGCTCACAGGAAAATTGCCTTGCTGTCCCTCGGCTGGTGCGGCATGTACGCAATCAGGCCCACTGACCTGGCCATATGTGCTGAGCCGAAGGTTCTGTTGCGTGGATTCGCTGCAAACAAACATGTCTGTTTGCTTCAACTAACACGCGCCTTTCGGTGCTCCCGGTCGAATTCCAGATAAGTGAGGCTGCACAATTAGCGTCACAGACCGGGTCGAAGGACAAGATGTTGCCAGTACTGCCATCAACCGCCAAGACTTTGCCATCACCTTCGCAAAGGCCTCCAGTGTCACCCCGGTAGCTGAAGTTCGACGGCGATGAGCCATCGGAGTGCAAGGATTTGATGCCTTCGTCCAGCGTGACGAGAATGCGGCTTCCGCCGTTCACCACTGCAATGCCAAGAGGCCACTTTAGTCCCTGCGCGAAAGTCTCGATCTCACATGGTGCTTTTGCACATCCGGCCGGGATCGCCTGCACTCGGAAGTTGCTGTTGTCGGTAACAAGAACGCGCTCGCCCATGCAAGCGATGCCCGCTGCGAAACCCGAGAGCTCCTGAGAGCCTTTGCCGGCGGCTTTTCCACCATCGACTAGCGAGCAGCTAGACGTGCAATCATGCCCCACTGAACAGTTGGCGCAGCGCATTACACCACTGGGCCCTGGGTGCGTCGCTGCCCCGAACACAACGAACAGCGAGTCCTGACACCAAGTGATGCCACCAAGGCTGAAATTCCCGTGAGGACCCATGAGCTCACCAAGAGCATGCTCCACATCCACCAGCGTCTTCAACGGGCAGGAGCTGTCCTGACACCACGGGTCCACTTGGACGAGCTTGTGGGTTTTTGTGGCGGCCACAAGATGCCCGCTCCATGGCACAAGCCCGCTATACGTTTCAAGACCTGCAGCGATTGCAAGCGGCTTGGAGCATCCATCCGCCTTACAGTCGAGACGCACCAAATCGCCGGTGTGCGGGCTCGTGAAAAAGATGGCTCCCTGCACAAAGTCCTGTGCTAAGGCTCCTATGTACGGGTTCTTCAAGGGTCTTCGAGGGCTCTGAAAGGGCTTTTTTTAGGGTCCTGTGGCAACGGCAATTGCAGCTCCGCACCTGCCATGTGGCCGCTCGCAGCAGCAAGGGCCACCAGAAGCTTCATCATCGGCTTCAACATGCTGCACATGCCGGACTACTTCGAGCTGCCTTCTACCTGCTCAACACAAAACGAAGCCAAGCCGAGACATACATGTGCTCGCACTGCTGGCACGTGACAACCACAGCCACTAGAACTGCCATCATGTGTAGCACTCTGCACACATGTTGTGCCCATCGAGATACTGCAATGCATTACAATGATGGGCTACGGCACGCCATTGCTTCCACGGACTCGTCGAGTCTGACAGCTTGCACAAGCAACTGCCCATCTACCATCCCGAACTGCTTGCATGCTTTTGTATGTTCGTTTCAGGGCCACTGCTTCTTTGGCACCTGGAGGTGCCATTTGACTCGTTCCCTGCAGACAGCCCAGACGAGAGATACTTCAAGCTCGCCCTGCTGCTATTCGCAGAATTCCTCAGCACTGAAGTAGGAAGCTGCATCTTTTTCGTTGAACTCTCGAACGCTGGCTGGCGGCCGCATCTTCGCCTGCGACCAACAGTGAGTCTCAGAATCTCACACCGAAAACACTACAAACCCTGCCATGTCTAAAGCTCGGGAGCTTTTTTGAAATGGAGCTGGCCGGGAACCCTAAACCCTAAAGTTTCAACCCCAAACCCAAAACCCAAAACCCGCCTGCGTGACTGCCATGCTCGAACTCGACAGGCCTTGGTACTTGGTAGGGTTTAGAATAAAGTTTAGAACGGCTTTCTTGTCCAGTATCCCAGGGGAAGTTAGGTCTATATAGGAGATATTCGTACCCCTACAAAGGTCTAAGCTTACCTACTGACCTACTCTGCTACTCAGATAGTTTTTAGGCATTGCCAGCTTCGAGTTCACCACTGTAATCACCATCCCTGCTGACATGTATGGCTTTCACCCGTGTTTAGCTAAAACTGTAGTAATCAGCTTTTATCGAATTAAGGGCCTAGGTCAGGCCCTATGAACCGTATACTTTAGCCAAGCTTTAGCCTTGTCTAAAACCTACATGACTCAGCAGAAACTTTGTAGAACCTGTATAAAACTACTCTGTGGCCACAGGCACATGCTTCATCCTCGAGTCCGCTGGCGACGAGGTGACGAACAGGGCTTTGCCGTGACATCTCCGCAGCTTTCGAATGGGAAAACTAGAAAGCACGGCTCACTTCTCACCGAAGAAGAAGTATGGGAGGAAGTTCTGCACCTCGGCACGGCCGGAGGGAACAGAGATCACCGAACCCTTCGGCTGTTGAAGCGAACCGCTGAACCCCAAACCTGCAGTGGTACTGCATTGCTTGGCCAAGAGACGTACTCATCGAACTCGTCCTCGGGGGGCAGCAGCACGGACTGGTTGTCGAGCAGCAGGAGCAGCAGGTAGAACAGGAACAGCAGGACAATGCCCGTGACCTTGGTCACTACAGTAAGTCACTAGGATATAGGTAAGAGCAACTCCGGAGTTCTCTCAAAAAGCCAGAGAAATCTTCAAGGAACCGAGCCACCATCACAAGCACAGTAGGGATGCTGTCCTCCTTGGCCACGACACCGGCCTCGGCATTCAAGGGCTTGAGCAGGTCCGAGAGGCCGGTGCGGATGCCGTAGCCCTCAGGGAGAGGGTCGCGCTCGCCGTAGGGCGCCGTCCGCTTAGCATTGCCCACTGGGTAGACGCCGTTTTCGGCCGGCATGTCCGTTTCGTACTTCACCTCTGCGGCCGCAGCCACGTTGACCTGGCGGGCCTGCGTTCCGGGGCCACTCACAAAACTGCGGCCGCTCAGCGCCCACAGGCACATGCAGCCAAAGGCAAGGATCAACATGCCACGAGCCATGATCTGCAAGAGGGGAGAATGACAGCGGGTCGTAGAACGAGTCCCTCAAAAACACCTCGAAGCCAGAAAGCGGTTGCGAAACCGAGTCGCAGTCTTCAATGTAACATGGTGCGTGTCTGCATCATTCTGCATATATCAATCCATCAAGACATTGTAACTTTTTCGAACACATCTAATTTGTATAATACATACACCCATGCATACATACAAATACACACAAGCGCGCACCTACAAACACGTAGCAATACAAATGATGAAACACATAAACAAATCAATATGTATACACATCGTGCGTACAGATATACATATGTATATATACATAATATATATGTATATATATATATATATCCTGGACCACCTTTCGCTACACTTATTTGTGTACCTTATTTTGGGCGTTCGTTTGGGCTCGGCAAACGCTCGTTTGGGCATGAAAACGCACGTTCGAAAAAATATGCACGTTTACCTTGGCTGTTTCTCGTGATGTGTTGCAACTTGTGAGAGCTTCAAGCACTCCAAATCTATGTCAAGAAACCGTTGATTTTCGTTGACGGCTGTGGGTTCTCTTTTTAAGGGGGCCAGGCTTTGGGGTTTAGCTTGGTTCTTTAATCCCCTAACTGCCATAACCTCCAACATCACTCTCATGTGCACACACAACGACGTGTATGCCGACGATCTTTTCCCGGCTGCGCAGGGGACTCAGCGCTTCAGCAGGAACGTACGTTTCCATTGCCTCCGATAAAGACATAACGCCCTTTCAAGCACTCGTTTGCTCGTAGTGAACCGGTGGGTTCGCCGACTTAGCCGGGCAACTTTGCCGATAAAGTCTTCATCGCTCCAAGTGGACCATGTTGTAGCGTTCAGCACGTATTGCAAATTCGAATTGCTGAATTGATGCTGCAAATCCAGTCTTGGTGGCTGTTGGAAGCACATACGAGAATTATGGGCCTTCCTGGTCATAAGAAACACTTTGCTCTCTGCATACAAGCTTCACAATATGAGCATTCATGTGCAGTTTGGGGCGTACTTTGAACAGTTTGTAGCCCATTCTGCTGGACATGGCCGCAAGAGTAGCGAATCCTTCCTTAGTTTAAAATGACATGTTATCTCGTGCAATCCTTTCTGTTTCCTGAATTGATGTAATCGACCTATAGATCGCAGACATATTCCTTATCCGAGAAACGAGCATTCTCCACCCATCTTGAACGACGGTTTCCACCATCTGACGGTCCAACCAAAGCCCCCCTTTGTAAAGAGCTCGCCAAAAGCGGCAGGACATCATAATCGTGTAACGAAGGACTTCGAAGATCTCATGAAAGCTTGGGTCCTGGAAAGCTAAAGTCCCACAAAATACCAGATGTAGGCTACAAAACTTCTACAAAATTGCGGATCAACATACCCGAACTCCTCTCCCTATTTGGGCTGGCCTGTTCCTAGATACACCTAACCTAACCATCATGCAAACTAAGTTTCAAAAGCCCTTATAAAGCCCCATCCCCCACCCAATCCACCCTAAACCCTAAACCCTCAATATAGACAACATCCCAAAAGCTTTGAAGCAAACATCTGCCGTTGGCACCAGCGAGGCCACATCGACTTCATGGAGTTGCTCATCCAGCCAGGAGCCCACGACTGCTGCATCGCTCCCTTTGCCCAGCCCAGCAGGGAAGTCATTATACCTAAGTTTGCAATTCCGATCACATTCTGGGTTATATACTAATTAAACCCGATATAATATACGTACATAGAACATACATACAAAAGCTGCTTATGAATCACCCGGGTTCTCTTTGCCACATTTCAGTGTTTGGTAGCTGAAGTCATCGATAGTAGAGTATTTCTTCGTTCGCTTCAAGAATGCATCGAATTGGAGGTATGCCCGGTCTACCCGCTTGGCAATTGCACCTTTACCAAAAACCCCAATCCTAGCCTGTAGAACCAGTGCACTTGCGTAGAGGTCTTTCCCGATTCCAACAATTGCCCAGCTATGCGCGGGGTCAACTCGTATCATCCGAGGGTTGTTTTCAGGCGGTAGGCGTCGAAGCGGGGAAGGACCTATTGCGGTTTTGTAAGGGCAGGCTGGTTCGTAGCCTGACGGCAAGCTTTGGATCTCGCCTTTCATATCCCACCATTCCTAAGGTTTGGAGTCAGGTGTCAAGGGTTAACAGCATTGCGCGCACAATATAAAATTATTTTGATATGCTTCTGCCTAGAATCGTCGCAATCGCACAAGTGGCACTTCCGACCAGAGGTGAAGCCTGTGATCAGACTGAATGAGGAACGTAACCACGGCCAGTCGCCTTTGGTCCCCAAGTAAATGAGCTTGTAGTTGAGGATTTTCCCCTGCCACATTACCTGGGATCAGGAGTGAAGGTAGGGCTTTACCGTTTAGTTAGGGTCATAGGTTACAACGTAAATAGGGTGCAAGAGTCGAGAGGCTGCTTGGCTATTGCATTCACACTTAGATTTTACAGAACGGTTTAGAATCTCGGGTATAGAAAGAAGATAAATCTTTTGCTTTAATATAGCTCCTGAGGCTGTAACCCCATCCGATTGGAGTTTCAGAAGATCTTCTACCAAAGCATCCAACACGGCATATAGAGTCTTGTGCTGGACATACATGACGGAGGGTATGACCGTGAGCAAAAGCCGAGTGCAGAATGTGTGCCTCCGGTCGAATCTAATGACTTCACAACAACTTCAGGGAACCCATCACTTATGCAATGCCCCAAAACGGCTAAGTGTGCAGATCAGGTACCCAGGAAGGTTGGTGGTTGACATATCTGGGGTTGTGATCAAAGGCTGGAGGCTTACGATTAGGATTGGCTTTTTGCCTTGCCCTCTGCCCTCATCCCCGTGTAAGGCTACAGGTATTGAAGTCGTCCAGTCGTTTTGGCTGTCGCCATAGAAAGGAAGCTCAGGATGCACTTGTTGGTAGCGTTGCCAGAAAGTACGTAGTGTTTGACCGAAAGTATCGGCACAATCCAAGCTTTGCCCTCCCAAGAAGAATCGACCGGCAAAATGATTGAAGATGCAACTCGCCCACGAAGATGGAAGGAGCATGGGGTGCTTCGACATGGTCCACCTGAGAGGTCTGCCGCGCTTGGACGTGCGAATAGGGGCCGGGACAGGGGTGATGACCATCTGTAGCTGGCGAGCTTTTCGTTGGATGAGTCGATGCAAATTTCTGCATATATGGGGGTCTTCTCTGGTCGCACCGCATGCAGCCAAAGCCCTGATCATGTCGTCCACAATTCCTTATCATCGCATATTGAACCACGAACTCGGAGATATCTCAAACTAGAAACATGACAGCACCTGAACCCATAAAAACGACACTGTATCCTACTTATTTATACTTAAGCAAACATTATCCATCTGGGCACCGTGTTGTTGGAGCCTCTTGTTCGCCACCTTTGCAAGCCGGACCACCCGTGCTGCTGAGTCTGCCTGATAAATATGCAAACATATGACCACGATTTGGCTATTGTATGTTCTTGTGCAGCGAGACACACGGAGGGGCCAGGTTCATAAAGTCACTATGGCCTGCAACGTACTAGTACATAAACAATTCTACTTCGTTCTCAATCAAGATACCCCATCCTCGAAGCCAATCAGCAGCTCCTCGGCCAGATCTGCGTCATCCTCGATGGCGAACCCGTGCTGTGCCAAGTGACCTCCTGTCCGGGTTCGGGTTTAGGGTTTAAGGATTTAGGGTTTAGGGTTTAGGGGTTTAGGGTTGGGTTTGGCTATTTGGACCTGCCTCGTGCTCGAATATTCAAGCCTTTTGCGTCCGTACGATTGATGCCTCCAGGGATTCCGGAGATTGGAGAAACCGGAGAGAGAGAGAGAGAGAGAGAATGAGAGAG